GAGGGTCCAGAGGAGGCCACTTGCATGGTCAGGGGGCAGCAGGGCAGGCCCTATGAGGAGAGACTACGGGACCTGAACCTGTTCAGCCTCCACAAGAGAAGGCTGAGGGGGGATCTAGTGGCCTGTTACAAACTAGTCAGGGGGGATCAGCAGGCATTGGGGGAGTCCCTGTTCCCCCGAGCACTGCCAGAAGTGACCAGGAATAACGGTCACAAGCTGGCAGAGGGTAGATTTAAGCTAGATATCAGGAGGCGCGACTTCACGGTCAGGGTGGCTAGGATCTGGAACCAACTTCCAAGAGAAGTGGTGCTGGCTCCTACCCTGGGGGGCTTTAAGAGGAGGTTAGATGAGCACCTTGCTGGGGTCGTTTGACCCCAGTGCTCTTTCCTGCCATGGCAGGAGGTCGGACTAGATGATCTACTCAGGTCCCTTCCGACCCTAGAAACTATGAAACTATAGGGCTAGAAGGTCATCTAATCCAACCCCCCTCCCCCCAAAGGCAGGATCATCTCAGTTGTATTCTCCGCAGCAAGAGAGAAAAAGCACTTTCCCTCTTCTTTATGGCAGCCATTGTGTGTGAAGACTGCTGCTATGTTCCCGCTTAAGCACCTTTTCCACAAGTGCAACATGCCTAGCTCCTCAAATGACTTGACATCCAAGTCCTTCATCATTTTGTTGCACACCTCTGGACCCCTCTCTTTTCCACATTCTCACTAAAATGTGGAGCCCAAAACAGCACAGGGTACTCAAGATGAGGCTTTAAAAGTGCTGTGTAGAGAGGCACTCTCACCTCCCATGTCTTGCATCTAATGCTTCTATTGAGGCAGCCCCAAGCCACACTCACCTTTTGTACAGCTGTATTGCACTGCAGACTCACACTGAGTCTGTGATCTACCAAGACTCCCAGATCCTTCTCCGTAGTGCTGCTATCCAGCCAGGTGTCAGCCATTTTCTATGTCTACTGTTGATTATTTTTCCCGAGGTGTAGGACCATGCATATGTCAGCAATGAACTTCCTCTTGTTAGCTCCACTTTACAGTAGTCTTGTCTAGCTCCTCCTTCTGTAATGTGTTTATGAGAAGGTCATGGGGGCCTTTGTCAAAGACTTGCTGAAATCCAGATACACTATATCCACAGCAGTCCCTTCATCCATCCTAGAAGTTACTCTGTGAAAGAAGGAGATCAAGTTTGTTTGACACAATTTGTTCTCAGTAACTCCATGCTGGATGCATGGGATCGGCCTTTCCTCTTCCAGGTGATTGCAAATGGACTTCCTTAGGGAATGCTTCAGTAACTTCCCAGATATTGAGGGGAGGCTAACCAGTCTGTAGTTCCCCAGATGCTCCTTATTTAAAGAGGGGAAGTACACTGGCCCTTTTCCAGTCCTCTGGTACTTTGCCCATCTCCCAAGACTTCAAAAAGATAATTGCCAAGGTCTCCGAGATCACCTCTGCCAGGCCCTGCAGACTTGAATTCATTAAGACCCATCAAAATCTCTCTGACTCCCTCTTTTATAATTTCATCCCTCATCCTGCCCCTTTACTGATCCAAATAATCCCTATTAGGTGCCTGGTTGCATCTTAATTTTTTCCTGAAAACAGGCAAAGTAACTGTTGAGTGGCTCCACTTACTTTTCATCTTCTGCTGAGAGTTCACCCTGGCTATTTAAAGGTGGGCCCGCAGCTTCCTTGGTTTTGCTTTTCTGGCCAACACACACACAAAACCTCTTCTTGGTGTCTTTACCTTCCCTCACCAGATGCAGGTTGTTCTTCATTTCTCCTCTGCAGACGCACAGATCTCATCAGTGCAATAGAGCCAGGAGCCGGGGTCTCCTCTCTTGGCTCTCCCCGCACCTCCTCCTGGCTCCGAGCAATGGGAGCAGCTGCTAATGCAGAACAAGCGAGGAATGAAATGCACTGAACTCAAGCCAAAAGGCTCCACAGAGATAGCGGGTCCACATCATCCCCTGATATATATGTATGGCATAAAGCAGGAGGGCCAGGCCAGTGACTGCACCCAGGGCTACCCTGTTTGCCTGAGCAGGGTGGCCGAATTGTGGACCAGCAAGTCTGTTTGGAGATGAATCCCACAAATATTTCTTTTCCCCTTGTTTAGTGTGAATACTTCAGCAGTCCAGAGAACCACTGTGTGGCCAGATACACACCCTCATCTTTAAGTCTCCTCCTTTGCTGCCAGCTCTTTCTGTGTGTCCAGGAGAAGCCCGGACACTGGGATATTTCACAATGCTAATTCTTCTGTTCTAGGTTCCTCAGTGCTTGCAGATCCCTCAGCCAGTCATGCCCGTGAGTACAATGTGACATTGAACCCCGGCAAGAGTGAACTAGTGTGGATAGCGTGCTCCCAGCATCCGCACTGCATGTCCCCCAGGGAGGGGGTGCTAGCTGCCTCGGCAAAGGAAGCTCCCTAGGCCAGGGGCCTGCACACAGGCTGGGCAGTGAGGGACAGCAGTCTCCATGCAAACACCCACCAGCTTTCTAAAAGGAGCCAGTGCGAAGCTGGACAGGAACGCCAAGCCTAAGCAGAGCCCTCAGCTTCCAGTAGCTGGGATTTGACCTACTGAGAAAGATTTAGTCCTCCCTGAATTGCATCCAGACACTTCATGGAAAATGTGGACACCTGCTCCATACGTGGAGAATCAAAGAGAGTCCGGGTTGCAACTGTGATGCAATTTTTAGATGGGGCAACACATTGTGAACAACTCCCCAGTTAGATGATTTAATGGAAATCTAAAATCAATCCATGCAGCTACTCCTGAAGCAGGCGAATAGCTAACAAATTTAGATATTAATCTATGAATGTTGTATGAACATTGTAATCCTAAAATGTCATATGAAAGAGAGAGAGCGAGCTTCCAGGGTGGACAGACTGGGGAGTGGACTCCACAGGGCGGGGTGACAATTATCAGGAAGCAAACCCCAGCCCCGGAGCTGTACGGGGAAAGGTCCTCCTCCTCCTCTTCCCTGCTGCACGGACCACCATGTACAGTCTGGGCAGGGGTGGCAACCTGACCCCATCACGGAGAGAAGTCTGCTGGCTACAGACTTCATACCTTGCCCCACACCACTGCAAGTGCTCCAAGCTCCTCTTAAGAAAGGTCCTCGTGCTGTCCATGCAGAGCAAAACCCCTCACAGCCTGTTCTTTCTCCCCCTCAGAGCCGCAGACCCCACGAAATAAGTGTGGCAATGTGAAAAGCTGTCCCCAGAACCATTTTGCCTTCAAAATCATCAGCGGAGCAGCAAATGTCGTTGGGCCATCCCTGTGCTTTGATGATAATCTGTAAGTACTGCAGTGGTCCCAAAAGCACCTGATGCTGTAGAGGTGGAAGGGGCTCTCTTGAGGTCTGGGGGGTCAGAAGAGGCTGGGAAATCCTGAGGGTGGGCCTGGAGAAGCAGCCCCACAAGACACAGAGGTTCAGGACATCTGTTGATTGATTCTCTTTGATAATCCCAGAGTTCAGGTCAGGGCCGGGCTGGAGTCTGCACGGCCAGGGACTGTGCCTGAAAACAAGCTGGTAAAGGCCTGGGCGCACACGGCCAAGAGAACCTCACCCTGCTTGCTAACAGTGGCAGTAAACGTCCTTTGAAGGAGGTTTCTTTCCTGCTAAAGTCAGGCACATTGCAGCTGGCCAAAGATTCACCCCCATGGCATGCAGACACTTCAGCCCTCTGCTTTATTCTCTGTTCTGTTTCCAGTATCATGAGCAGCGTGAAAAATAACATCGGCCGTGGATTAAACTTCGCACTTATGAATGGTGAGTCTGTGATGCAAAAACAGCCCCCCCCACTTTGGGGTCATGGGCCCTGGCTGGTGCTTGGCACACAACCCCCCAGACCTTTCCATGCGCTGGCACTGTCCACTCCAGCCAGCCCACAGCACCTGCACTCCTGCCCACCTCTAGGAAACCAGTGGATGGGTACAGCTCGGCCTGTGATGACTCTGTGGTATAAGTCTATGGCCCATCTCCTAACGAATCAGTAGCGCCCTGTTAGCTAACTATGAGTCAGCTAATGCTCTGTCAGTGCCCACAGGGTTGGCAAATGCCTTGTGGTAACAGGTCTCAGTCATGATAACTTGGTAATGATAAACCAGTTAAACAGCCAGCACATTACAGCGCAATGGGAGTCGACACAATCTGGGAACTTATATACCAAGCAAGCAGGACTGTAAGTCCAGTGGCCTACCCATGCACTACCCAGCCAGGAGCAAAGCTGCTATGGGACCAGAGTCTGGCAGAGTTCATGAGCAGCAACTGAGTACCAGTGGATTTGTCCTGACTAGTGGCAGATATAACAATGCATGCCTCTCTGCCGCAGTTACCCAGCATGGTGCCTACCTCCCTGGGCAAAAAACAGACTAGCTTTTTTCCTTGGCTGAGCAGCTGTTCTTATCCTGAGAAATAAATTGTCTAAGCCATCAGTTTCCAAGTTTAGGAACAGACAGATCAGAGACCCTCAATATCCTTTGTGAACTACATACCGTACCTGAAAATACTGTTAATGCACATGGGGCCCAGTGCCATTCCTGAACTAGCTGTGGTCCACTTACTGTGACCTCACCAACCACAAGCTATCCATGGGCCACAGCTTAGGAACCACTCTCCTACCCAGGGTCCAGCTCTGAAGCAAAGGAGCTGCCACGGCCCATCAATGAGCCTTTTCCACTCCAGCATCCAGATGAGCAATTCATTGCTGTTGTTTGAGGGCAAGAACCAGGAGTCACCACTTCCACTCTGGTTTGATGCCAATGCAGCTCGATTGCAATAATGGAGATGCAAAGGCATAAACTAGGGCAATGAATCAGTGAGCAGGGCACAGGATATCCTGATATAGAGCTAGTCACTGCAGGTTGGCTAGGTACTGTTTACAGCTCTACAACAATGGAAAAAGAGTTACCAGGGGAGCTGGGAAGTGGAGAATAAACCCACCTGTACAATACGCAATGGCTTAATAAACTCCACAGACTGAGGCAGAATGCGATGCAAAGCAGCAGGCTGGAAGACTGTTATACAGAGTTTAGGTTATGGCTGTCTGGGCTGGTTTGGACAGGGCTGATCCTGCCTCAGGCAGGGGTTGGACTAGATGTGACCTCTGCAGGTCCCTGCCAGCTCCACTTCTCTACGATTGTGTGATTCTCAGTAGCATTTGCAGAAAGGCTTCCACACAGCCCCCTCGCTTGCTTTCATGCTGTGTTTAGCATCCAAGTTCCTGCGATCACCCTGGAGCAGGGAAGTCTTCCTGCCGGTTTCAATTTGGCACTTGGTCCCTGAGAATCACTCTCACCTCCGTGTGCTACTGTACAGCCAGACAGGTTCCTGATGGGTCATATGGGCAGATGGCAGGAGATCAGAGCACCTGGTTTCCCTCCTTCCTTCCTTCCTATTGTTTCTCTCTTTGGGATGCACTCCACCCCGGCCAAGCATTTTGCTAGGCATGCTGCCACCTCCTGAAGCAAAGCCTTCATGAGATCTCTCATTTGACCCTATGGTCCCAGCCTCCCAGGAGCGACAGGGGAAAAGACCTACGTTGGCCTCCCTAGAGAGTGGTGCAGGGGTCTTTGCCAGTGTATCTCCTTCAAGGACGAAGGGCATCTATCCTTGTTTGACATCTAAAATGCATCCCTCACTCACCCCTCCTCTCCCAACCACTGGGTCAGTGTGCTAATCCCACCACTTCTCTCAACAGTAAATGCACATACTGGCTGAAATCCCCCCGTCCCAGGAGAAAACCATCTTTCACACAGCACAGACCCTGAGCAGACGGACTGCTGTGCTCTCAGTCCAGGTGCTAATTTTACAGAAACTAAATTCTATTTTGATTTTAATCACTTAGGGACAACAGGACAACTCATCAAAACAGACAACTACGACATGTACTCTGGAGGTAAGTGGCTGCTTTCACTAATACCACTGTCCACATACCCTGTGCTCCTCCCCGCTGTAGTGCACGCAGCACTAGTCCAGCATGTGAACACTAAGTGGCTGGATGCTTGAACCGTGCCCTCCTGAAAGCATGTTTTAAAACTGGCTTTTCATCTCCCAGTAAGGTTAGTATCCCTGCTCTCTGTATTCTCATGAATTATTCTGCTGCTTCCAACGGGCTGCGTTCCAGATCTGGGTGTGCAGGGGGTCGCACAGTCTGCATTACGCAGGAGGTGGCACCACCCTTTCTGGGTCGACAACCTCCAAATCAGTGATGACCCTCTTGAACCAACTGAGTGGACAAGGCCCATATTTCATGTCGTGTGGCCCCAGGGCCAGGGCCAGTCCTGGAATGCAAGCTCGATTTTGCAGACAGGCCTCTGCTCCCGCCATGTACTCTACGTGGGTCATAGTGGAGAAGCAAGGCCAGGGTTTGGCACGAGAATAGCTGCATCCATGTGTCTACTAGCAAGGGCTGCTTTTCACACCACAGCACTGGGAAAAAAATAGTTCTGGTCCCAACCATCTCTGCCCTGCAAGATACATGGGGCCTTCTGCAAAATTCAAACCCCACGGGAGGGAAAAGTTGCTGACAAGGCACTTGGCATCTGCCTGGATCCTGCCCCCAAATAATGCTCATTCAGAGCAAACAAGCCACATGCTTTCCTCTGGGTACATAGGTCACAAGGGAATTTTCAGTTGGGTTTGCCCAAGGAATGGTACTTTGCACAGCTGGGAACCTGTAATTAGCCCACACAATCAGACCGCACAATGCATGTGAGGGGCACCTGCCCTTGGTCCTAATGAGTTTAGCCCAAACACGTTGAGCTGATTAATCATCATGGAGGCATTTCATTAATTAGTGTGATCCTACTTGTGATCTACATGGAATCTGATAGGAGATCTATGAAGGATACATAATTACAACTGTCTAGCTCTACTCTCTCAGGGAACTTTGCACAGAATAAATAGAAAATGAAACAATTACTAAAAGGCAGGCACCATCTTTCAAAAACACTAACACGACCAAAAATGCTAACGCTGCCCCCATATCCAACCAGCTAGTCAAACATGTTAATGGTCATTTCTGTCTGGGCTCAGTCATTTCCCCCCAAAACTGCAGCAGCAGTGCAGGGACGCAGTAGGAAAGTCCTGTGGCACAGGTGAGACGGTACGAGTCCCATTACTGCCCCTGCTCGACAGTCTTAAAATAAATGGGATGAGAAGCCAGCATGACTTGCGAAAGGCACGTGTCCTTCATTGGTGCAATTTAAGTCCCCCAAGACTCAAGTCCTTTGTTAAGTCCTTATACTAGGCTTCTACCTACTGTCCGCTGGGAAAGCAGCAGGTGTTGGGCCCTGCATCTTACACCAGAACTTAACACTTGCTTTTCTCGGCTTTACCAGATGTCAAACACCTAGTGGCCTTCCTGAAAACCATCCAAGATGGCACCCTGGTCCTTGCTGCCTCCTACGATGACCCAGCCACCAAGTACGTACCAACCCGAGGAGCAGAATTTGCCTCCCAGGAGCCAGGTCTCCTCACACAGAGTCAATGGCAAATCTCCCCCTGGGCCCAGGGCAGTGTGATCAGACCCCACATGCACAACTATCCACCCTCCACTCGGTCCTAACTACATTTGGAGCCAGGGTGGTACATCACTCTCTGCAGGGGGCTGCACCTTCCAGCCCTGGGACATGTTGGCTGGCCCAGAATCCAGCTGCCTGCATCTGGGCACCATGTCTCAGGCACAAAACTTGTGGCATCTGTGCTCAAGAGCGGCCCTGGATGCCCAAATGATCTGTCACCTAGAAAACATCCAATGGTTTGAATCGCTCTTCTCTGGATAAGATACTGTGGCAGTAGAGGCCAGTAGCGGCTCAAGCTAATGGCCCCCATGTGAAAGAGTCCAGTAAAGCGTAACAGTCTACA